GGCCTGAGAGAGGCTGGCAGGCAGGAACCAAGTGACATGTGGGGTCTGCAGACTTCCGGGACAGAAGGGCCAGCAGCCACAGTCAGGGCACATCAGAAGACACGTGGCCTTGGTCAGCTCTGAGACCTCCTGCTACCAATGCTTTTGTGTCCCCAGGCCTTAGTCACTGTCCCCTCTCATCCACATCAGGACTCTAGAGACATTGGCTGCCTCGAGGTCTCATGAGTCCTGGCTCTTGTCTCCAAACATCTGGAGAAGTTTGTAGGGAACAGAGGGAAGCTGAGAACTCAGTGGCCGGGGTGAAAGGAAGGCAGCTGTGTGTCCTCCTGCCCCAGGGCCATTGCCTGTCTTTGGTCCTCTTCTGGCCTCTGAACCCACTGGAATCGGCTTCCCAGATCACTGAGTTATCTTAGACCAAGCAGGCTTCCACAGCGTCTCTGGTCCTTCAGGAAGGTGTTTCCAGGGTTTGGCCGAGTCGCTGCCCAAGTTGTAGCCTACGACAAAGAGGGAGAGGTGAAGAAGGGCCATGCCCTGCGCTCGGTGCCCCAATGCCCCGGGTGATCCTTGACCCTCCGGACTCCGAGTTGTTCCTTCATCCCCTAAGGGACATGTGGGGCCACCCACGCCTGGCCACCCTCCCCCTCACTGGATGTCACTGGTCATCTTGAACAGGCAGAGGGAGATTCCCCAGCCATGATTCTGTGTCACAGTCCTTAGAGTAGGGACCAGATCTTGGTCCTGGGAACAGGGATGACTCTACTTACTTCCCATGTGCCTCTTCTTCCAAAACCCATAGCCCATAACAAACACCACAGACACAAGAAGCAATGTCGGCACCACCACCACCGCAGTGAGGTAAGTCTCCTGGGACCTGAGGAGGCAGGACAGCAGAGGACTAAGGACCAGCAGGCAGGCCCACAGCACCTGCAGGGAGATGCTCTCTCTCCCCTCTCTCTCTCTCTGTCTCTGTCTGTCTCTCTGTCTCTGTCTGTGTCTGTCTGTCGTCTGTCTGTCTCTCTCTCTCTCTCTCTCTCTCTCTCTCTCTCTCTCTCTCTCTCTCTCTCTCTCTCTCTCTCTCTCTCTCTCTCTCTCTGTCATCTGTCTGTCTGTCTCTCTCTGTCTTGGGACCAGATGTGGGAAGAGAAAGGAGACGCCAGAGTCCCAGGAAGTACGTCACCAGGCAGGAGGAGCATCTGCACTTGACACCTCTCCTCCAGTATCCTCACATCCTTCATCAGTGAAGACAAGAGCCCCACACAATGGCCACAGGGGCTGAAGAGATCAAGACTGTTTCCTCCACAGTGACTGAGGGTGTCTCTTGCCCCCTCTGTCTTCTGTAGTGGGAGCACCTCCTCTATGTGACCCCGTCCATGTGACCCTCTCCATGTGACCCCC